CAGAGTTTTCCAACCCCATAAATTGGTGAATTAAAACCATCCCTGGGGAACCATCACTGCCCAGTGTCTCTTTATGCTGGCACTTAGAAAGTTCTTATGCTGATTAAATTGACCTTTATAGTGGCTTAGCTGAAAATAGCAACTATAAGAGATGGAAACTGTTGAGGAAAGTGTTGTTAGTCTCACAAAGGGAGGAGATGATTTTTTGCATATGTGCAAAAGGTATACTGTTCATCCTTTCCCGTTGTAAAAATGTTCTTTCCAGTTCAGTGTTGTTCTTGCTTGCTTCTTCTTGGCACCTGTGCCTTTTGTTTGCGGTGACCCTGTGTGCCCTGTATCTAAGCCAGTCACTGTGATATCTGGGCTGAAGACACATACCAGCAACAGACAGGGATGTTAATGGTCGTCTCCACAGTCATTCCTGAGATGAGAGACCCCCAGCATAAGAGCACACGTTACTCAGTTTCTTTATGACAAATTCTACATTTCTAGCATTTTTTTTTTTTTTTTTTTGGCCGAGCAGTTTTGTGCAAATGAAAACATTGCTGGAAAGGAGCTATCTTTAAAATGTGAATCTGATCTTGTCACTTCTTTGCACAATCTGATCCCCACTTACCTAACTTCCCTACCTACTTCTTTCACCATCTCCTTCTGGTTAAAGGGCTTTGCTTGTACAATCTCCTTTGCCAAGAATGTTCTCCCCATCCCACTTCGTTTGGTTACTTTCTAACCATCTTTGGTGATCTCAGTTCAAGCTTACCTTCCTCACAGAAGCTGTCTGGACCTTCACCACTAGCTCCTAGGTCTTATCTCTTATAAGCTCTCACCAAGTCATATATTTTTCTCTTTCTGGTTGCAGTTTGATCTGTGTGATTACTTTATCATCTTTGACTAGACTGCAAGCCTCCTGAGGACAGAGATCATGACTGTTTTGGCCATTTGCCCATTGGGTTCTCTAGCCTGGTTCAGTGCTGGTGCAGGGCAGGTATCCAGTAAATGTCAAAGGAAGGAATGAAGGTCCCGCTTTCCATGCTGGGACGAAATACCATTCTGCTTTTCAGAAAGTCAGTGTGCGAAAGTACAACCTTTCAAGCAAGAAAGGGAAGAGCCCTAAGCAGGTTGCCCCTCCTCACTGCCACGTAGAAGATGCAGGATCCTGTTCCCAAACTCAAAGAGCTCCACAAAGGCAGGATCCTGTTCTTTTCCTCCAAAGACAAAATGTTGATTTTATTTGGTTTGGGGCTTTCAGTGGATTTCTTAAAGCAACTGAAGTGTAAGAAGCAACTGGAGAAGTATCACCTCAACCAAGGAAACTAAAGGTTAATAGTTAGAGCTCAGGCTCTGGGGCTGGAACAGAGAGGTTGGACCACTTCCTAATCGTATGACCATAGGCAAGTTGCTCAACCCCTCGTGGCTTCAGTTCCCTGATAACTACTTGCTCATAGGTTGCTTTCAAGTTGAGATGAAGGAGTACGTGTAAGGCACTTAGAACAGTGCCTGGCACATAGCAAGTGCCCAGTACACATTAGCTCTATTATTCGCCCCAGGTTGCATAGCCGTTGTTTCACTAAGCAAACCATTATGTACCGAGCACAGTGTTCATACTGGGAATGGGGGAGGGGAATGAGGAGACAGAGCTCCTGCCCATAAGGAGAGGACAGTTCATTCTTTGATTCACTCTCTGGAGAAAGGGGGTTGGAAGGATATTTACTGCCCACTTTTCAAGACTTGGCCTGAACAACATAATGTATAAATAAAGTGCTTGAAGATGCTTAGAAGCAAGGCAAAGAGGAATCATAAAAGGTGCTGAGAACTTTTCATGTTTGAACCTTATCCACTGCATTCTCTCTAGTTTCTTTTTCTGTTCTTCCTGTGTCTTGGGCAATCCACACTGCCAGTGAACTTCACTCTTCTGAAATCATTTTGAGTAAATGCAAAGTGCTATTTAGATCGTCTTTTCTGCCCAGCAATAATGGTTCACAGACTAACATTGATATTAAGAGGTCAGAAAAGTTAAGTCACTTACCCAAGGTCACATAGTTAATAGCACAGTATAAGAGCTGGGCTTCAGGGGCGCCTGGGTGGCTTAGTCGGTTAAGCGTCCGACTTTCACTTAGGTCATGATCTCGCGGCTCGTGGGTTCGAGCCCCACGTCGGGCTCTGTGCTGACTGCCAGCTCAGAGCCTGGAGCCTGTTTCAGAGTCTGTCACTCCCTCTCTCTCTGACCCTCCCCTGCTCACACTGTCTCTCTCTCTCTCTCTCTCCTAGAAATAAATAAAACATTAAAAAAGAAATTAAAAAAAAAAAGAGCTGGGCTTCAGACCCGGATTAGCCTCTGAACCACTTCTACCTCACAGTGGATCTTGAGCCACCTGGAGGTCTTTGAGAGCCCTCCAGGTAATGCACGATTAGGCTCCTCATACAGGGAAGGCTGGAAGAGCACCAGGCAGAATCTGTGCACCTCTGTTCTTTGCTGTTTCTTTCAATGAGAAGAGACAGATTTCAAGAGCTCTTGGGTTGACTTGAAGCTCTTGTGTGAAGGGATGGGAAGTAGGCAGGCCAGTAAAGACTTAGGGTAGAAGGAGACACGAGAGAGCATCTTTAACTCCTCCTAGGGCCACTGAGTAACTTGTCCAGGTCCCAGTCCTGGTCCTCTGTCGTGAGGACCAAACCCAAAGGAGCCAGGGCCAAACCCAGAGCCAGGGCTTTGCTTTCGCACCAGCAGGTTTCTGGAGGAGCTTACCTTTGGGACTCACACGTCAACTTTCCCTCCAATTCCTCCGTTTCTTCCTTGCTAAAGGTCCGGGAGTCCACCTCTTGTCTTCCTTAACTGTCCACCTGCTTTCCTTTGTCCTGTAGCAGAAAGTGACAGTTTCCATCACCAGGGCCACCTCAGGCCTCCTCGGAGCTCTGTTGCGGGGCAGGGGAAGGAGAACAGCGATTGAGATTTACTGGGTAAAAGGCGTTTGAGGAACCCTTTCAGATGCTGCTGCTCTAGTTCTGCTCGCCCTAGAAAAGTGGAAGCAGAGCAGGGAAAAAGAGCGGGGTCCTGTTTATCCCGGGCTTCCTGTGCGGGGGGATGGAAGAGCCAAGAGAAAAGCTGACACCTCACAACAGTGAGGATTACCACTTGTTTAGATTTCAGACGCGTTCCACTCCACGCCTCTCTTAGGACCAGTTGACCGTCCAGTCTTCAGAGCCTGGACCTCGTCTGGTGAATTTTCCTGAGGCAGAAGTGTCACTGGATTCTTTCAAGTGTTGGAGTGTAGGCAGCACGGCCTCTTTTAGAAACTACGTGGACACTTTGAACTGTGTGAGCCAGTGCCAGAAGAACGGCATTTCAGGGCCTGGTAAACTTGGGAGGAACTTTCTGATGTCCTTATGAAAGCAGTGTTTTCCTCTGAAGTCAAGGAGGGTTGTTCTAGCACAAGCAGCGAGCGAGCACGGATCTGCTCTCTCCACACGCACCAGGCCTCAGAGGGGACCTCTGACCGGACAGCCCCCCTCCACGGGTTCCATTTTGCTTATGGTGGACATGGGGAGCCGGGGGTCTGTTGACAGTGCTGTGAAACCCTCCCTGCCGGAGCTTACAAACGCCTTTCCTTCTTCCTCCACCCCTTTACACAAGGGTGTGAGGCTCTTAGAGACCAGGAAATGCCTGAGCATATGTGAGAGACCTGCCCTGAGCCTGGGATCTGGTTTTCAGCTGTGCCGTCTCCCTCGTCCTCTCCCTGTGACATCCGGCGCCCGCACGGTCTCTGCCCCGCCTTAGCCCTGTAGACGGTTGCTGGAATGCCTTGTCTATACCCCTGGCCAAGAAGACGGTGTAGTGTAAAGCAAGGCCCCAAGAGGAGGAACTGACCGTGTGACTTAAGTTTCCACCAGCTGGCGTCCGCCCGGATGTGCGCTGTGGGCAGGGTCAGCTGAGTAGCAGCAAATACAGTACTGTGGTTTTAGTTTCTTTGCTGAGCAGGGCTTTTTCCCTTCTTAACCCCGAGCTCCTCGAGGATGGGGACAGTGTCTTATCTTTGTATCCCACATACCCGACGTGTTGCTTGGCACAAAGACAGCGTTCAGTAAACAGACGTATTACTTCTTTAAAATAAAGAAATGTTGAAAGCCAGTTGGACTACATGACTTGTGTGCTCCCGTGTCTCCCCATATGTGTTGGGGTGCACAGTACATTTGGGGCTGAAGTTCAGGTTGGCTGGTAGGGTATCTCGTACCTTAAATGTGAAATGTCGAGAAACCATTTTCACCTCCGTCCCCTTCCACCAGGGCTGTGAATAGAACTTGGCACACCGCAAGGTGGCTACTCAGCAGTGCCCTTTCTGGAGCTGTCCCTGACACAGCGTGAATCCTAGGTCCGGTTAAGATTATTAAGAGATCATTTGATAAGCAAAAAATTATCTAGCAAATTGAAATCGGATGAGGCCATCTGAGCAGGTTCCCCCTTTTAAGAGCGAAGAATGTGAGTGGCAAGTTACTTTGGCCCTCTTTGGAATCACACTGCAATTAACCTTGAACAGTGTGTGTGTTGAAGGACGGCATGACTGACAAGATGCTAATCCTAGAATGTGTCCTGCATTAATTGCTCCCAGAACTTTCACAGAAAAGCTGTTCTTACTTCAGACACACTGCTCATTACACGAGAACCATCATCTTTTTACTGACAGAGTTTAACACCAGAACATGGAGTGTTTCTGTTTGGACATAAAGAAAGCGAGGCATCCGTTTCCTGTCTGAGGGAGACTTTGCTCTTTACCAGTCGGCTCTGTGTGCTTCCCTCTTTAACAAACCTTTGTTGTTTTTCTTCAGTCCACTGTTGTTGTGTGGTTCGTCCTAATTTTTTTTTTCCTTTGTGGAATGAACATTGGTATAGACCATCTTGATGGAGGGTGGGCAGACAGTCAGGAAGAGGGGGATGAGAAGAAAAGTGACATTTAAAAGCTATAGTTTAATATGCCCCCAAATTTTTTATTTTTATTTTGTTTTTTTAGGATAAGGAAACCTGTGTGGGTACCAACAATCAAAGCTACATCTGTGACACAGGACACTGCTGTGGACAGTCTCAGTGCTGCAACTACTACTATGAACTCTGGTGTAAGTCCTTGCCCTCGAGGGGTCTGCGGCACCCCAGGGTGCTCCTGATCACTGTCTCTGCTCATTGGGAGGCGGTGGCCTTGGCAGCTTTTCTTATTCTTTTGGGGGAAGTATTGGCAAGTCGAGTCTCTTGCTGGGTTCTAGAAGCGATTCCTCTGTAGAGGAGTGCTCTGGTGCCCTTTGGACACCATGGGCTAAAGACTAGAAAATATGATCAGAGCCTTCTGAAGAGGCCACGGTTATGAGGTCTGCTGCAGAAACTCCACCCTGAGTTCTCTGTGATACCGCCTCCAGTGTGTCCTGAGGAGCGGTAACAGCACATGGTGCCATGAGCCAGCGCAGACACCCAGCTTTGCCGTCTTTGCAAAAAAAGGTTGCAGTAGCCAACCTGTGATGCCAGGCGAGGCTTTGTGGATAGCTGTAGTGCCGTTTTCTTGTAACAACCTTAAGGGCTTCCAGGATTCCCCAGAGAGCATCAAGGAGCTGCCTCTGTTTCTGAGGGTCCCTATCAAAGGAATTACCTTCCCCTAGGTCTCTGCCCATGGACCCCTCTCAGGGTGAGGGAATCTAGAGATGTAGCCCCTTTGTTTCTCTCCCTGTTCTCAAGCTGACCTGTGTGGAGGCCCGCTTCTCCAGTGTACCTCCCCTGTTAACTCTCAGCTAATTGCCATGTGCAAACAGTCCTCTTCTTGCCACTGGTTTGGTTGGGGTCATGAACTTGCACCTTTCAGACTTGCCCAAGGGTGGTGACATCGCCGTGATCCTCAGGGAGTGAGCCCGGTTCGAGGAGTTCACTGACACACTTTGTGTTTGTCTTCTCAAAGCTTGGATGAGACCTCACAGGATGCTGCATAACGAATAGGGAGGACAGGATAGTCCTTAGGGCGGGGTCCCCAGGTGACTGGCACTGTACTGGTTCTCACAACTGTCTATAGGGAGGAGAAGCAGTAGACTGTTTGCCCAGGTAGTTCTAAGCTCCCATCACTCCTTTTGCTTGGAAGCAAACTGGGCTGGTTTGTCAAACTGAGCCTTTACTGCCAGCGTCACCCTTTCCTTTCTCCCCTTTTCTCTGATCTCCCCCCCCCCCCCCCCCCCCCATCAGTGATGTGGTCGGAAAGCAGCTACAAGGGCTATTGTGTGGTATGGAAAGGAAATTAGACTCTCAGCCGGTCCGTCTCTCCTTCTAAATGTAAACATATTTTGTAGCCAGTGGGAGTGGTTCCTCTAAACAGGACCCCTCCTCACCCTTATACTTCCCTTTCAGGGACACAAGACTGGCTTGTCTGCCTTTCTGAGGAATCCCAGCGGAGGTCAAATGCTTACTCCCTTCCCAAGGAAAGGACAGGGCTCAGGATGCCCCCCACCCCCACCCCGGCCCGCCATTCCTCCTTGGATACAAGCAACAGCAAAGGAGGGCCCAGAACTGTTGCTATTTTAGAAGGGGTGGGGTCAAGGGACTCCGAGGACACCAAGTGCCAAGCAGGTGAACAGGCTGTTTAAATGTTTTAAAATGTAGATAACCACAGGGTTCTATTCTCCCTTCCACCCCTTGTTAAAACAAAAGTCGAAGCTGGGCTGCCAAAAAGCCACAGAGGCGCAGTTTGTTTTTCCACGGCCCGGCCCAGGCAGCATCGGCTGTGGAGAGGCATGGGCTTGCCGATGGCCTTGTCTCAGACTGACGGCCTCCTGGGCCTCCGGCAGAGCAGGCTCCATAGCCACCAGAATTGGGTCACTATTGCCAGGGTGGGGGGTGGGGTGGCGGGGACAGGGAGACCCAGGTGGCAGGGAGGCAGCCTGGTAACCAGGCACTTCACCCCAAGGGTTTAACAAAAGTCAGAGGAGGAGCTGCTGAGTGGCTGATTATCTCCCCAGTATGGTCAGCAGGGGAGAGGAGGAGGCCACGGACCAGAGTCCAGACAGGGAGAGAAGGCTCGCCACTATGTGAGTTGGTCTGTGCTTTCCAAATTCTGGAGGGATGGAGGTTGTAAAAGCAAAACTGTCCTCATCGGTGCCCAAAAGTGGCTTCTTAGTCAGGACATTCCCAGTGAGTGTTCCGCCTCCCTCAGAATTCTTTGGTGTTCTTCCTTACCGGGTCCTGGCCTCTGCCTGATGTGTGTATAGAGGGAAGTTGAGTATTGGAATGAGCCCCTTCAGTTCATACCAAAACTGCATTTTTGGGGCACCTGGGAGGCTCAGTTGGTTGAGTGCCCGACTGTTGGGTTCAGCGCAGGTCGTGATCCCAGGGTTATGGGATCAAGCCTCAAGTTGGGCTCTGTGTTGAGTGTGGAGCCTGCTTAAGATTCTTTCCTTTTCCTTCTCCCTCCGCCCTCTCATTGCTCGTGCTCTCTCTAAAAAAAAAAACCAAAAAAAAAAAACAAAAAAAAAAAAAAAAAAAAAACCCCAACCCTACATTTTTGTCATTTTGAACCCCATTCCTTCTAACTGCCTCTAAACTTTGTCTGAAATGCGAAAAGGATGGGCTTTGGGTTATTCTTTTTGTCTCTTTCCTTTGGAAGGAAAAAAAGTCTCAGCCAGGAAATCCTTGGCAGAATTTCTGTCAGAGTACCTCTTTAACCACAGTTGCCTACAGGGAAGGCCTCGGGGAAAAAAGGGAAAAAATGCCATTTCCACCAACCCTTTCACCTCTCCTGAGCTGAGTTTTCCTGTGTGCTGAGGAGTTTCTCTCTCTCTCTCTCTCTCTCTCTCTCTCACATACACACACACACACACACACACACACACACACACACACACACACTCAGGCTTTGGCTAGCACCCTTCCTCCATTTCTTTTTAGTCGTAACCTAAGCCAGTACTTATTCCTGGGCCTGCATCAGATGGGAAGCGAAGGTCCAGTTTTAGCACTAAAGCTGTAACAGCTAGTCGTCATCATCATTATCATCCCATGCATTTTTATGGCCCTTGTACTTTAATTCATTATTCAGTCTTTTATTCATTCAGTAAACCCTTATTCCAGTGTTTCTCAAAATTTGGCAAGCATCCGAATTTCCTGGAGGGCTTATTAAAAAACAGAGCTCTGGGCCCTACTCCCAGTTTTTTATTCAGTAGGTCTGAGGTGGACTTGAGAATTTGTGATTCTAACAAACTCCTACTTGATGCTCTGACCTCTTCTGTGTTAGAAACTGTGGGGAGTCATAATCCTTGCCGTCAACAGGGAATCTCCTAGCAGAGAGAGGAGATAAGACACAACTCCCTGCTAGTAAGACAGAGAGTGGAATGTATGTGGCAGGATCACTGCAAATGTTCAGGAGAGTTTGCTTTGGCTAGGCAAGGTTCAGGCAGGCCTCATGGAAGAGGTGGATTTCCCATGCACCCTTTAGGGTGCATAGGATTTAAACACATGAAGAGCAAAGGGGCACCTGGATGGCTTAGTTGGTTAAGCATCTGACTTCAGCTCAAGTCATGATCTCACAGTTCATGGGTTTGAGCCCTGCATCGGGCTCTGTGCTGACAGGTGAGAGCCTGGAGCCTGCTTCAGATTCTGTGTCTTCATCTCTCTGTCGCTCTCCTGCTCACACTTATCTCTCTCTCAAAACTAAAATAAACACGGGGCGCCTGGGTGGCTTAGTCGGTTAAGCGTCCGACTTTCGCTTAGGTCATGATCTCGCGGTTCGTGGGTTCGAGCCCCGCGTCGGGCTCTGTGCTGACTGCCAGCTCAGAGCCTGGAGCCTGTTTCAGTCTGTGACTCCCTCTCTCTCTGACCCTCCCCTGCTCACGCTGTCTCTCTCTCTCTCTCCTAGAAATAAATAAAACATTAAAAAATATTTAAAAAAAATAAAATAAAATAAACATTAAGAAATTTTTTTTTAATTCATGAAGAACATGAAGAAGGGTACAATGGCTTCTCAGGCAGAGGGATGCCATAGGCCAGGGCCCCACGCAAAAAGAACAGAGTGTGCATGATGTTGTTCACCCACCCTTCCCCTGGGGCCCTGAGGCTTGTCTGGGAAGGAGTGGGAGGTGAGCTGATGTGCACAGAACTCTGCTATATGCGAGACACTGAGTAAGGGCTTTAATCACATCATTTCCTTTCACCCCAAGAGCAACCCTGCTTAGGTACGCATATCAACCCCATGTGTCCCGACCCAGGGGCATTAAGTAATGTTCAGTTGGATGCAGCTGAATGGTAGTAGGGTAGGAAGCCACTCCCTTGCAGAACTCTGTGAGCCACTGGAAGGGTGATGGGCCCAGGTTGTGGAAGGTTTGGAATTTGGGTGTTTAATTTCCACCTGAGGATGCCCTTCATGGAACAAGTAGAGCAAAGAGGAAAACCAAAACTGAGAGAGGCTACCAACATGCTCAAGGCCAAAGATCCTGAGCTTGGATCTCCTGATTCTTATCCCAGGGCTCTTTCCATTCACCAAGCTACATTGTCTAGGGAGAAGTCGGAGCTGGGAATTTCTGCTCCTGAAATAATTTGAGCGACCTTTACCCAGGCATCAGTTTTCCCTTGTTTGGGCCTTAGTAGGGGAGAGGGAAGAGGGGAGTGTTTCTGGGCAGTGGAATTCCCCTGAGGTGACATGAAACTCCGTTTAAGACCGCCCAGCTTGTTTTTCACCTGCTAGATTTTCCTTTCTTAGTTTATCTTAAGATGTCCATTGTTGGGCTGCTTGTAAGGAAGGCCCATAGCATTTGCCACCCTTAGCAGAGTGGAGTGCGGGAAGCTGGGGCCTTCTTCCAAGCCCCAACTGGAGCCCTGCTTCCCCTGATTGGACCCCCACTCCCCCTGACTGGACCCCTGCTCCTAGAGGTCCAGGCTTCTGGACAAAAGTAGGTTCATCAGTAGCACTTGGGCTGGCTTTCCAATGAATTTAGCCAAGAACAGAACCTAGAAGTAGACTTTGGACTTGTTCCTCACCCTTGCTTTTTTATGGAGTATTTTTTGGGGGGAATTAAAAGAGAAATAGAAAGGACACCCTTCCCATTGGTGGTTGTACCTGTAACAAGAATAGTAGTAACAATCTGGAGAACTTACTGTATGTCAAGCATGGTTCTGAGGACTCTCCATATATCAACTTGTTTATTCCTCACAGTGACCAGTAAGGTAGAAACCGTTATTCTCCCATTTTACAGATGAGGGAAGTGAAAACAAAATTACCAAGGTCACAAAGCTAGGAAGTGGTTTTGTGAGCTGTGATTTGAACCCAGGTCACTGCCTCTTCTCTTCCGTAGCTGCACTCATGCTTATAGGAAGCTTGTCCAGTCTTTCAGATGAATTTGTAAGCCTTCTGAGGTCTTCTTTTCCCTAATTCAGGTCTTTTTCACAGTGGCAGTGGCAGGAGCTCCTGCTGAGAGCTTTAAGGGGCCAGGGAGGTCACCCATCATTCTTTGGGGTAGAAGGAGAGCTAATTTACAGTCTGCTTTGGCCTCCTAATGAGGAATTTCCTGCCCAGTTGGGGAGTGGTGTTTTCCCAAGTTTATAGTGAACTCTGGGGCACATGACTCAGTTCCTACATTGGACTGTGATTGTTTTTTAGAACTTGTTTTCTGTTTTGCTTAGCATGACAAATGCTCCCCACCATGAGATCACAGCTTTCAAAGTTGTCATTGGGGAATGTGGTCTCTGGGTAGATGTGTGTTTGGAAAGGAGGGTGTGCTTCTGTCTTTCTCTGTGTATGTAAACTTTCTTCCTTGTTTGTGAAATCTAGCAAAAAGATCAAAAGTTTATACAGCTCCAGAGGGACCAGTCTGGGTATTCTCCCTTTTAAACTTGGTGGGACATTATTTTGACTCCAGTGACTCCCAAGCGAGTCCATTTTGTGAGGGCCAGACAGAATCCCTTCTGCCTTCCCACATTAACCCCACCCAGTGGGACCAGCTCATTAAGGATCTTTTTGGGACCCGTGCTAACACACCATCTTGCCACTAAATGCATTCTGCTTCCAAGTCAGATTTCCCTCAGTTTTGATCCACACAAATAATCTTTTGTCATACTGTAGTAGAAATGAAGAAGGGTGCCTGGCTGGCTCAGTCGGAAGAGCATGCAACTCTTAATCTTAGGGTGGTGAGTTCAAACCCCATGTTGGGTGTAGAGATTACCTAAATAAATAAAAACTTAAAAAGAAGAAGAAATTAGAACTCAGTGTGAGACTTATAACATAAATATAACATTATACAACTGGTATGTGGTAAGGAGAGTTTTTATACCCGCGATACTACATGAAAAGAAGTAGGGTGGTGGAATTTCAGTGGACACATGAGTTGTCTGGTGCTCTCTTAGATGTGACTAAGGCAGCTTTGATAAGGGTGTGTGTTCTAGTTGTCTCATTTCTTCCTCCAGTCTCCTGCCCTGCCTAATTTTTCCCTTAAAAAAAAAAAATCTGTTTTTCTGTTATGTTCAGTGGATCTCAGTCTTTTTTCTGGATGAAGGATTCCCTTAAGAATCCGATGAACACTGGGGCGCCTAGGTGGCTCAGTTGGTTAAGCGTCCGGCTCTTGTGTTTGGCTCAGGTCATGATCTTACAGTTTTGTGAGTTCAAGGCCTGCGTCAAGCTCTGTACTGACAGAGCACAGAGCCTACTTGGGATTCTCCTCTCTTCCTGCTCCTTCCCCACTTGCACTGTCTCTGTCTCTCTCAAAATAAATACATAAACTTAAAAACAAACAATCTGATGAGCACCTTAAGTCCCTTTCCCCAGAAAAGCCTATAAAGACACTGCGTCAGTCAGCATAAGCTATAGGTCATGCTTAGTAACAAAAAAATCCAAATCATAATGACCCAAAACAACATATTTACTTCTCATACTATATGTTCATTGCAGATTCGATGGGAGCTTGGTTCCCACTTCATCATCCTCTGAGGCCAGATTGACCCTGAAGTCACTATCTGGAATGTTGCCAACTGTCATGGCAGAAGGAGGACTAAAGGAAAGAAAGTCTTACATAAGCAAGAAATGTTCTGGCCTCCAAGTGACATAAGTCACTTCCAGCCCCTATTCATTAGTTAAGAACCAGTCCCAAAGCCTTGCCCAGTCATAAGGGGGACATGGAGTTCAAGCCTACCCATTTGCCCAGAAGGGGAAAACCAGAAATATGTTGCCAACATGAAAACCAGTTCCCAAGATTTTTCTTTTTTTTTAAGTTTAGTTATTTTGAGAGAGAGAGAGAGTGAGAAAGAGCAAGTGGAGGAGAGTGCTCTCTCCCTCTCCTTCTGCCCCTCTCCCCCTCTTAGCTCACTTGCTCGCTCTCTCTCAAATTAAAAAAAAAATCATTCCTGGCTGGCTCAGTTGGTAGAGCAATGCAATTCTTGATCTCAGGGTTGTGAGTTTGAGCCCCACATTGGGGGTAGAGTTTACTTAAAAACAAAAAGGAGTGCTTGGGTGGCTCAGTTGTCTAAGCGTCGGACTCTTGATTTTGGAACCATCATAATCTTGGTGGTTCATGAGATCGAGCCCGAAATTGGGCTCTGTGCTGTCAGCATGGGGCCTGCTTGGGATTCTCTCTCTCCCTCACCCTCTCCCTCTCGTGCTCTCTCTCTCAAAATATAAATAAATATTTTTTAAAAAGAAAAATACTCAAAACATCAAAAAATAAAATCATGTTTTATATATATTCTATAAAATGAGAAATATTGTCCCTGGGTCCTTTATATTGCAGCATTAAGGTTAAAAGTTGGTTTACCTTTAGGTAAGAAACTACTGAAAAAATGACTTGGGAGGTAAAAACTAGTTGAGTTAGATGCTCATTATCTACTGGGAGAATGTATGTTAAAAAGTACCAAGAAGTATAAAAGATTGTGAGACTGTGCTGGGCAGGTGAGAGAAATGTAGGTAATATGGAAGAGTGGTTAGCCCAGCAACTCAGACTGGAGTCTAAAACGCATTTAGAACCGAGCTCTTCAACAGAACACACTGTACTTATTTGTGCCTTTAACCCCCAACCCCGAAGAGGGTCCCAGATCCAGATCACAGGAGGCTGAGGATGTTACAGGACAGCATCAGGGAACCACTTCTCTTCCACAGCTCTTCTCTGGCCTCAGCACCACTTCCGAGGGCTCCTGTAATGGTGTTTATCCAGTCCTCAGTCAGCCCGCAGCAGGAGAGAAAAATATAAGTGAAATTAAGCAAATGTCAGTAGTGAATCTGGGAAGTCACCCCAAGGGAAACTTTTTATTTATTTATTTTTTTTGTTGGTAATGCTTGTTTATTTGAGAGAGAGACACACAGAGCCAAGCGGGGGAAGGGCAGAGACAGAAGGAGACACAGAATCTGAAACAGGCTCCATGCTCTGAGCCATCAACATAAAGCTTGACACAGGGCTCGATCCCACAAACCACGAGATCATGACCTGAGCCGAAGTCGGATGCTTAACTGACTGAGCCTCCCAGACGCCCCAGACCCCTAGGGAGACTTCTGACTTCACCTTATGTGTATGTTCTCTGGTTGGTAATGGGGTTTTTTGGGGCACTGCCAGCATGGAGCCTGCTGCAGGGCTGAAACCCACAAACTGTGAGATCATGACCTGAGCTGAAATTGAGTCAGGCGCACAACCGACTGAACCACCCAGCCTCCCTGCTTTTTTCATTTAATTTTAGAAACATCTTTATATGTCAAAAGTAGTATTCTATGAATATTTTTTAATGATTTGAAGTCATTTCATTTTGTGAATGCATTCCCAGAGGAACTTAAAAACCTATCTAGAAATTTATTATTATTATTTTAAGTAATTTCTCCTCTGAACTTGAGGCTTATAACGCAGAAGAGGTCTATGCTCCACTGACTGAACCAGCCAGTCACCCTCCCCTATTAAATAAAAGACACCAAAAATATAAAATTGTTCACAGATATTTTTAAGTTTAATAAACTTTTTTCCAGTTTTATAATTTGAAGGAAAAAATTGAAATTTCTTCTAATCCTGCTACTTAAAAATAAGTCACTATTTTTGTCTTTCCTTCCAGTCTCTTCTCCTCCGTGTGTGTGTGTGTGTGTGTGTGTGTGTGTGTGTGTGTGTGTGTTTTAAACAAAATTGCTCAAGGATTTTCTGCATACATTTGAAGATTGGGGACGGGTCTTATTTTGGGGTTTGCAAAGATTCTCTGAGTCTGACCCAAGAGGGCACAGTGGGAAACGAGAAGAAATAATCTGCCTGGAGAAGAGGAGGCTGCTAATGACCCTAAGTCTAATGTAATTACAGGCCAAAGGGAGGTGGGGCTGTTATTTGCAGCTGTAGGAGATGGAATTGTACCGGATTATATCAAGAGCAGAGGAAGTCATTTACACTCTCTAGGGAAGAGATGGACCTGAGGCAATTAGAATTTTTCCAAGTATAACTTCAGTGACTCTTTAGTATTACACCAGTGTATGTGGTAGAGAAAAAGCCCGGGATCTTTTTGGTGATATCAAAAGAATCCTAAGAATTATTTTATCAGGCAGCCCCTCTGAGGGCCCTTGCACTTGCTAATCCACTGGGATTTTGAGGGGCTCTTTGCTTTTGGTGAGCAGTCTCCTGTAGCAGCTGGAAGTGCGCTGTGAACTGGCCGCCAGGTACTGAGCAGGGCTTGGAGGTGGGGTAGGAGGCGAATAACAAGAAAGCCCAAAGCATTTGTCTCCGAGACCCCGTAAGAGAGGAGAAGTACGCTGTCCTAAAAGGTGAGCATATTGAATGCCCACCAAACCTAAAACTTTGGCTCAGTGGTGCTAGAGACGTGCCTCCTGCCCTCTCCCATCCCATCTCTCACACTGGCACAAACACGTGTGAAAATCGAATACAGGTTCCAAATATGAGTTCACTAGGTGAGGCCTGACAGTGCCAGCCTCGATCAGGTGGGCACTGTCTGGGGCCCCCCTTGCTCGGAGAGCTGCCCCTCTGGCTGGTGTTCACCGTGCATGCGTGCCTCTCTGTCTTGCCTCCCCGGCCCCAGGGTTCTGGCTGGTGTGGACCATCATCATCATCTTGAGCTGCTGCTGTGTGTGCCACCACCGCCGAGCCAAGCATCGCCTTCAGGCTCAGCAGCGGCAGCATGAAATCAACCTGATCGCCTACCGAGAAGCCCACAATTACTCAGCGCTGCCATTTTATTTCAGTACGTACACCAAAGCCACCAAACCCCACCTTTAGGAGGACACACAAACTGGGTCCCTGTGGGCCCCTTCCCCAGCATAGTGCAGTCTGCAGGTGCAAGAATGAGGGGCACTCCCCATTAGCACAGAGGAGCAGGGGCTGGGGATATAGTACCTTTAGCCACCAGGCCAGTCCAAACCCACATGGGCTAGGTTCTGACCAGGTTTCTGATCCTTTAACTATTTTTTTTAGACAGCTAGTCAGAGGATGTATGATGTGAGAAAATCAAGATTTAGCTTTCTGTGGCCTGAAATCCTCCCATTTTGCTTACTGCCCTGTGATAGGCCTGAGCAAAGCCTGACATGAAAGAGGCAGATGTGGAGAGGGGGGTGACATTGGGACTTCCTGAGAACCAAGAAACTTGGTGATTCACTGAAGGATACTCACGTGACTTCCCTGGGGTTTCTTTACACATGACCTGTCAAAGGGTTTGTGGAGGCCCAGCTTGTCCGGAACCATTCTACAGTGTGTTCTACTGGGGTGCCTAGGTGGCTCAGTCAGTTAAACGTCTGACTTTGGCTCAGGTCGTAATCTCACAGCTTGTGAGTTTGAGCCCTATGTTGGGCTCTGTGCTGATAGCTCAGAGCCTGGAGCCTGCTTTCGATTCTGTGTCTCCCTCTCTGTCTCTGCCCTTCCCTTGCTTACACTGTCTCTCTCAAAAATAAACATTAAAAAAAAAAAAAAGTGGTCACAGGTTTGGAATTCCACATCCGGAAGCATTAAGTGCTTAGCAAAGTGCCTGGCATATAGTGAGTGCTCAAAAAATGCTAGCAGCTACTGTTATAACTAGACCAGTGTACCTTGAGACATTCAGCACATTTGAAAGATAATGAGCCTTTGTTGGCAGGCCCCTCACCCTTTGCTGGTAACCTACCTGCTCCTGATCTGAGTCAGGATGAGGTTTGGTTTGTCTTTTTATTTTTATTTTTTTTTATTTATTTTTTTTAATGTTTTATTTATTTCTAGGAGAGAGAGAGAGACAGCGTGAGCAGGGGAGGGTCAGAGAGAGAGGGAGTCACAGACTGAAACAGGCTCCAGGCTCTGAGCTGGCAGTCAGCACAGAGCCCGACGCGGGGCTCGAACCCACGAACCGCGAGATCATGACCCAAGCGAAAGTCGGACGCTTAACCGACTAAGCCACCCAGGCGCCCCTGGTTTGTCTTTTTAGACCACCTCGAGCCACACTAGAGTGAGGGACAACACAGGTTTCTAATATCCCAGAAAAAAGGGGCCCTTTACATGGTATGCATCTGGAAGGGTGGCAGGGGTGGGGAGGGGAGAAAAACATTGTCAGGAAGTCTTAAATTAGGGTCCCTGACCCTGAGGCCTTATGGGACATAGATGGAGGACTCAGTCTGAGCAAGAAACATGAGACTTGGGGGCGTGTGGAAACAGATCCGTTCCTGGCCATCCACTTTGCCTACCTCTCTGCCTTAACTCCGGACAGGCAGAAGTCTTGCCTATGAAGCAGCTTTAGAGGCTCTCAGGTTTCAAGAAGCTAGATTAGGTCACTCCCAGTCTGTCCCTCCTCCTCGCACAGTTGCCCCATCCCCCCTGCCCCACCCACAAGCAGGAGCTGTAGCTGTCACTTGGCAGGTGTGCTGGGGGTGGGAAGGGGCATATGTGTAGTGCAAGCTTTGTGGTCCGTCCTACAGCATATGCCAGTGCAGTAATTTCTCCTCCCTGCCTCTCCATTTTAGGGTTTTTGCCAAACTATTTACTACCTCCTTATGAGGAAGTGGTGAACCGACCTCCGACTCCTCCCCCACCATACAGTGCCTTCCAGCTACAGCAGCAGCAGCAACAGCAGCAGCAGCAGCAGCAGCAGCAGCAGCAGCAGCTGCCTGCGCCTTGTGGCCCCGCGGGCGGCAGCCCCCCAGGTGCCGATCCCACCAGGGGCCCCCAGGGAGCACAGAGCAGCCCCCTGTCGGGGCCCAGCAGAAGCAGCACGAGACCCCCGAGCATCGCAGACCCTGAGCCCTCCGACGTGCCAGCCAGCACAGCAGCCACCAAAGCCGCTGGAATGGAGCCCAGCGGCTCTGTGGCCGCCCTGGGGGAGCTGGGCCCCGGGGCCTTCCTGGACAAAGATTCCGACTGTAAGGAGGAGCTGCTGAGAGATTACAGCTCCGAACCAGGCAGCGCCCTCCCCGATAGCAAAGACAAGACTCCTGGCCGACATCGCCGCTTCACTGGGGACTCGGGCATCGAGGTGTGTGTGTGCAACCGGGGGCACCATGACGACGACCTCAAGGAGTTCAACACGTTCATTGACGACGCTCTGGATGGGCCCCTGGACTTCTGTGACAGCTGCCACGTGCGGCCCCCCGGCGACGAGGAGGAAGGGCTCTGCCAGCCCTCCGAGGAGCAGGCCCGCGAGCCTGGGCACCCCCACCTGCCACGGCCACCCGCGTGCCTGCTGCTGAACACCATCAACGAGCAGGACTCCCCAAACTCGCAGAGCAGCAGCTCCCCCAGCTAGAGCAGGCCCTGCCTGCGGCCTGACAACTTGGCATAGCAACCAGGGTAGGGGAGCGCCATGACAGAAGCATTAAGTGACTTTCCAGAAGAGTGGTACAGCCACTTCCGTTCTTCGCCCCCCCCGCCCCCCCGCTCCTGCATTTTCCTACATCTCCCGCCACAGGGGAGGTGTGGATGCCTCTCCGCCCCCAGGAGCAGTGTTGTGGAGGGCTGAGAGGTTGGTTCGTTCTGTGACTCATTCCTCATACCCCACCCTGTTCCCCCTTCTCTCTTTTCAAGTCCTATCTCTCTGCCTGCTTGGGTCAGAGAGATGTGTGTTTCAGAAGTCCCAAGGAGGGGCTGAGACTGTGCGCTGAGGTGACTCTTGGTGATGGAGTGGCTTTATGCTCTGGTGTTCGTTTAAGAGAACTTTGCTGTGTCTCAGCCCTGGGTGAAGAAGGAAGGCCGTAGAGGTCCAGAGATTGTGACCCCTCACTGCCAGTGTCTGCAGAGCCAGAACTGGGCTCATCCTGGGGGAGGAGGAGAGCTCATAGACAGTTTTGTGGTAGGTTGGTGGGGGTGAGGTAGATGTACCACTGTGCATCTTTGAGGGGCCCTGCCCAGCAGGTTTTGGCTGGCCACAGACTGGTTCAGTGTGGAACATCATATCACCTTTTCGGTTTTTCTTTAAACACCAATAGAGCTGAAAACAACTTTATCAATGGGGGCAGGCAAGAAGCCTGTTCTGGAAAAGGGAAGTCTGTGGCTCTATCCCAAGTTGACCTTTAAAGAACCTGGCCACTTTTTGAGCCAGAAGGAGATGTTTCATGTGCAGGCTTGAGTGGGGGCTATCTCGAACTTCTGTGGGAGCGCAGGAGGCCCTAAGCCGTGGCAGTGGACTTAAGTGCAACTTTCTGCATCTCTGTCCTTTGCTCTGTGCCTGTAGGTGATCAGGGTCCCCCCACCCCTCACCCAAACACACAGTCTGCAGGCCTTCATGTCTCGATGTTCTCTATGAACAAATGAGGAGGCTGTGGGTCCTCAGAAACAGTGGCCCCATAGCCTGGCTTTTACACAGTATTTTCTCTTGATTCTGAATAAGTTCTTCTGTTTTTTTGTGTGTGTTTTTTGTTGTTGTTTTTTGTTTTTAAACTGACCACTTGGAAAAAAATATGCCTTGGTTATCTGTGGTTTTCATACCCTTTCCCAGCCCTTCCCCAGCCCCCTTTTTGAGCGGGGTAACTATTTTTGTAGCCTATGTAAAGAGCCTAAGTGGCCCAGGTAGGAGGGCGAAGGCAGTGGTCCAGAAGTCCCGCAGGATCCTTATTACTGTAGTTTGGCTTCAGATACCCAGTTGAGCTTTGATAGGAATAACCTGAATGGAGAAAGCAAACAGCTAAAACTAACATTCCCTGTCCAGCGCTGTTCATATGAAGAGTTCGGTTCTTCCCCGCTCTCTTGAACGATGATATTCGCGTTAGGCATTGATGTTACAGTAAGAAAGGAAAAATTAAAAAATATATATATGTACAAAAATAGACAAATCCAAGGCTGTGAGGTGAACGAGTGTCTGCGTTTGGAGTCCACAAAACCAAAATCCATGTTGAACAAAGTGAAGTCTGTGTACAATGACTTTTTGGATCACCTGTGTGTCCATTGTGTGTGAGCCCCCAGCCCTGTTTTCCTGTGAATATACTTTGAATGGCCGCCATTATGCTCGCGTCAGCCACACGTTCAGAGCAGATATGGCCCTCTCAAGGTAATTTATTTTACACATTTACTGTTTACTGAACAAACGTCTGACTGTGTACTCGGGTGTATCCAGCAGCATTGTCGATGGCAGGCGCCCCCCCCAGCCCCCCAATGTGTCTGCCAGAGATAACCGTGCTCGAAGTAGAGGCTTTCCTCTACCCATCACTGCAATTTGCACATTGCTCCGTGGACACTTGGAGGCCTGTGTTCTGTTCCCTGTAAATGGAAATGTGCTCTGAACCTGCCTGCCTCCCTCTGCTCCTCCTGGCCCTAGGGATCAGCCCCCGGGGATGTTCAAAACCACTCGGCACAGAAAGGTGAAGGAGGAACTTCAGATGGAAGCTTGATTGGATCTTCAGTGACAAGCTTGGACTAGCTGTGGCCCAGAGTCGGCCCTGCCCCGGAATTGCCAGGAGAGTTTGGCAGACACCACAGTGCCATAGGGCTTACCTCTCTCTGCCGAGGTCCAGTGTCGTGCAAGCAAGCCCCTGTGTGGCAAGAGTGGGCGGGAGTGCGTCAGCAGCCCTCGGATGCTTTTCCTTCCACTGTTTTGTTTTGTTTTGTTTGTTTTGCTTTGTTTTGTTTTGTTTTTAATACAATCCCAAACTCACTGAAGGATGCACCAAAATGAATCCTTCTTCAGTTAACTGATCAAATGGTTGAATTCTGGCCCTCTCAAGTTTCCTTCCCCAGCGGGGAGTGGGGAACTGGTCTGCGTGTTAACTGTTGGGGTCACTGCAGCGTCCTGCCCTAGGGGCATGAGAAAGATCCGAATGCAGCCACGGAGCCAGGCTTGATTTCAGCGCTCACAGCCCGGCCCCTGCCAAGGGGGGCTCCCCTGCCAGGAGAGAGATGGAAATAGGGAGCTGAAGGACTAGTGGGGGTGTGGGCAGGGAGACTTGACTGAATCTGGTTTTCCAGGTGAACGAGAAGGAAGGGGTTGATCTGGTGGAGGGTTTGGTGCTACAGTCGGAAGATTTGCAAATGCTAACACATTCCTGTGTGAGGCACATCACCATTTGTCAGTTCTTGTGAATATGTGTATTTTAAGCAATAAGATTCAGCTGGTCAGACTTTTCTGGGCAGTCTCGGTGACGCATTTCCTGTGCTGTGATTGTTCTGAAGACAGAGTGGCTCTAACCACTGTGAGAAGCCCAAATAAAATCGATCCCCAAAATGCGACTGTTCTTTTTTCTTGCAACACTTTGTTTTTTGTTATTATTGTTATCATTCCCCTTCCTCATACTTCAGGGGTCAAACTCCCAAGATTCCTAGCTGCATTTTTCCCTCATCTACACAGAGACCGAGAGAAGTTGTGGAGCAGTTGAGGACAGGCCCCTGGCCCGAGCAGAAACCACAGGGCCAAGGGCAGGCTGGGTAATACTTCCGCTGAGGCCACACTTTGTCCTGAGGAGTTTTCCCCAAACCCTCTCTCTGCCACAGGTATATTTCTGATGTTTGGAATATTTGGTAAAGTCCCACAAGCAGGTTAAAATCAGACAACCAAAAAGCAGAAACCAGTTTTGTTGGATACCCAGAAACTGAAATGCCATTTGAAAGAAAGCAAGCACTCCGTGAGATCTCTTAATGATGTGATAGAGGGGTGCCTGGCTGGCTCCTCTGGTGGAGAGTGTGACTCTTGGTCTCAGGCTTGTGAGTTCGAGCCCCATGTTGGATGTAGAGATTACTTAAAAAATAAGAAAAATCTTGGGGGCACCTCGGTGGCTCAGTCAGTTGAACATCCAACTTCGGCTCAGATTATGACCTCGTGGTTCGTGGGTTTGAGCCACATTTGAGCTCTGTGCTGACAGCTCGGAGTCTGGAGCCTGCTTCAGATTCTGGGTCTTCCTCTCTCAGCCCCACTCCCACTCATGGTCTCTCTCTCTCTCTCAAAAATAAATAAACCATTAAAAAGTTTCTTTTTAAATCTTTAGGGAAAAAAATGATACGATAGGCCCTGGAATTTGATACACAAAGCATGTATTACTGAGTCTCCCAATTTGTGCCCATCACTGTGCTGGATGTGGAGGAGAATGCAAAAGAAATTTAGAAGACAAAACCTCTGCCCTCTAGAAGTCAAGTTCTAGTCAGGAAGACAAAACACCCGTGTAAAATAGTTAACAACAGGAGGTAGATTGAGATGAAGTGAATGGTACAGATTTAAGGAATCTTGAGGAATTGTGAGGGCTTGCTTGAGGTCTTGCCTACCAGGCAGAGACTTGAGAACTGATTTCTAGGCCCTGGGAGAGCCACTGGTGTGCCAGCACCTGCCATCCTGGGCCAGTGATTCTTTCCTAAGATTCCTTGTCATTTCACCTCATCCTTAAGACTATCCTCCTAGAACTTGGAGTCAGATGTAAAGAAGTCCCTGCTCTAGGGAAGGACCAGCCTTTGTCTCTGCCCAGGAAGGGGAACACTGCCACCTAGCAGATCTTCTCCTTGCATGGCCTGGAGGTGGGCAAAGTGATATGATGTGCATCTTGGAGCCCTCCTAGGGGGGGTTCCTGCCTCCCCGAGTGGAACGCTCACTAATGGGCCGGCAGAGGATGCTGACAGCATTTGTCTTCCCTAGCCTCTGGGTTTACCCTGCAGTCGGCACTATTGTCTAGAGTCCAGTGTAAGCCAGACAGGCCCCCACCTCCGTCTTTGACCCTGGGCCAGAGGTCACTATTCTGGCCCCTCAGTAATTCCAGTGGGATGGTTGCTGCCTAGTTACTTTTAAACTGTTGAACTCCTCCAACTAAGCCCAGGGGAGCCATGTTTGCATCTGGAGACAGTTCTGTTCTAAAACCATGGGAAAGGACTGGGGAGTACATCATTCCTGCCTTCGTTAAACTAATGTCTGAGTGGCAAAAAAAGGAGTACCACCCTCGCAGGCTACATGCTAGAGGCTGTGCATTAACCCTTGATGCCTGGGTCTGTGGAGGCGCCCTCTCTACACCCCGGGTTCCTGGCTCACTAAGTTCCTCATTTCTCTAATGAGGTGTAGCATTGTCTATCTCTACTGCCCAGGGGACCAAGTTCAGCTGGAGACAATACCAATTCTCTGAAGCACAAAACAGGAACTTTGATGAACAAGAATCTCAAGAAACTCCCTGTTCTCCATTTCCTCTGTTTTCATCCAGGGAGGAAAAAGAGGATTTGACCCAGGAGGAGTAGGGAGTGGGTTTGGCTGGCTGTTAGCCAAACTTCCTGGAAACCTGCTTCTACCTGAACCTAGTGGTAAGGGCCCTGGGTCCTAGGAGATGTTGGGGATGGGGTTCCCAGCCTGGCAGCAGGTGACCGGCTTTAACAAGATGAGCATTTATCGAGCACCTACCATGTGCTAAGCATCGGGAATGCACAGACGCCTTAGACTGGGCTCCTCTTCAGAAGAGCTAAGGGCCCCGAGGGGGAAAAATGGCATGTACACGGTATTAGTAGCACATGGTCAGTACCATAAAGCATGTGTGCACAGGATGCTTTGGAAGAGAATGTCACCCACCTGGGGGTATAGGGTAGCCTACCTGGAAGAGGGACCTCTAAACTGAGCTCACCAGGTAAAGAACGGTGTAAAGGGAATTCTAGGTAAATGTTTTGCAGATTATTGAATGCATACTAAGTGCCAGGTGCTGAAAAGCACACCAAAGCATGGGAGGCCGAAATGTCTAAAGCTGCTAGCAATTTAATCTTTGTAGATAAGTGCATTCTGGGAAGTGTCAAGAGATGCATCTGGAGAGGTAAACTGGTAATAAAGTAATCTGTCTTTATTGTTCTGTTTACTGACTGCACATTATTGGGTCTTGTGTAAACATCTTACCTACATTTTATTGTCCATTTTAGCCTCAAAGCAGCCATGCGAGGTATGGACTGCTTTCTTAACAGTGTTGTAGCATTCAGAGAAGTTGACTGACTTGTCCAAGACCACACAGCTAGGAAGCAGTAGAGCCGGGATTTGAACACTGAAGAACACTGAAGACTTGGTGCTCACAAGGCACATGAAGAACTTTTGTTTCTTTTCAAAGGTGAGAGAGAATCAGAGAAAGGTGATGAGCAGGCAAGTTGTCCAGACACTGTTTCCTCAGGAGCTACTTATCCCCCTGGCTTCTCCCCCCGCCCTCGTCAGAAGCCTCCAGAGGGCCCCACCCCGAGCCAGGCATCCCTGCCAGAGCCCCTCTGTGCTGAAATGGCCTCACACCTGAGATAGGTGAAGATCAATACTGACTTCCCCGGGGAGGGTGAGTCCCCCAGGAAACACTGTAAAAATCTCAGGAGTTAGAGCTTTTGGGTGTCTTGGAGGGGAGAAGAGGATTTATTTGATCCAAAGTTTCTCCTCACTCTCAGCCTGCTCCCCACCAGTCTACCCTTTCATTGCCTGTCTTCTTACCAAGAAGTGTTTAGAAACCCAATCCCACTAGAAAATGTTACAAAGCGGCCTCTGTGTTGGAACCATGAGAAGTTGGTCTCTGGGTTCTCCACCTACTTTCCAGCTGCCAGCATGCCCCCTGGCTGGGGAGAGAAGGCAGGGGCAGACAGCATCATCAAAGCCTGCAAGGGAGGGTTCCTGGAGGTCCTGTCCTGAAGAGGGACCTGTCCGGACAACACCTGCTTCTTCATCCTTAGAGGAGGGCTTATTTTGTGGATCTGGCCATAGGCAGTGGCAGTAAAGCCAGTATTTATCGAGGGACTGAACACATTTTGTAGGTCCGTATTTGACCTTTGGCAACATTCTGAGGTGGGTGGTACTGTTTCTATGCACACCTCAGACATCCATATTAGAGCTGAGAAAACTGCCGTTTAAGAAGGCCGAGTCAGGTGCCCATGGTCACTGAGTCTGTAAATGACGAGCCTGGGAGAACTTGCCTGCGCAGCCTGACCTCTTAATTTTCTATAGCTTCCCTGCTTCCCTGGCCCTTTCTGCTTTTCACCCTCCCCAGGGCCTCAGACAGTGAGCAGCACAGGTGATAAGGTCCCCACTCCCTAAATGAGGAAATGGGCTCGAGAACCGAGCAATGGACCTAAGATCCAGGGCAAGGCACCTGCGAAGTCTGGAGACTAGCCCATGGGTCCTCCTCATCCAGTCCTCCCCGACCCCTCACCTCTGTGGTTGGATTCCTTTCCTCCAGAGGTGGGTGTCTACACCTAGGCGGGTGACTGGAGAAAGGGCTTTTCATTCGTTTCAGGTTTTATGGCCACCAGAGACCCTAGAACAATCACACACTCTCACCTACCCCCACTCCACACCAAGGGTGCCAAAGAAGGGGTCCCATCCCCTCAGAATGGAGACTCTGGGGAGCTGCCCTTCTGAAAGACAAGGATGGCCCATTTCTCCTGGGACAGCCCGGTGTTTTGGCTCACAAAAGCTGAGTATTAAATTTCCAGAAATTTTATGAGCTGTTTATTAAATAACCATTAAAAAATTAAACTATTTAAACCTACCAGGGAATGCACTGTAATCAAACCAAAGGTAATAAATACTCAAAACTAATCATTTGCTAATTATTTTACTACATGTTACTATTATCTATGCCCTTGAGGTTATTTACATCTACCTCTGTGGTGGGAATACTATATAATGGTATTTACTACATAATATCAAGGTAAATAGCATATAATGCCACCATGTATCCCTCTGCAGCTCTGTTTTTCAGCGGCCTCACATTGGTGGCTTGAAATTATTACTCATAGTGGGGAGTGTTTACATCATGGCAATTGGCAAACACTGCAAGTCAGGGCTATTCCCTACCACTAGCACCAGGGAACTGATTGTTTAGTTGTTTATTTATCATGATACCACTGGGTAAGGGGCATTCTGAGGCTTGAAATGTGACTGTGGGGTCCTAGCAAAGGCCTTCCAGCTGTGTAAAGATCTGGGCCTCCTTCTGCATGAGGAGATAGTCTATGTATCACTGGACCAATTGGCCCAGAGATTAAGAGCATTGGCTTCAGTCTGTTGTGTGTCTAGCCTACTTGCCAGGTGCTGATGTGCAGGGTAAGGAATGTGAGAAGATTCAGTCTCCGGTCTTGAACTCCGGAGATACAGGGGCAGATAGTGCCCCTGGGGGACACTACATCCATTTTGAACCCAATTGGAAGCTTAGGTGTGCGTGGGATTCAGTAGAAGGAACAGAAGCTGAAAAGGGGACAAGTGCAGGGGCTGGGAGTCATGAGATATGTCCTGGAATAAGGCTTGCCCTCTGAGACTCAGGATGCGAGGAGTTAGGTCAGTAGGAAAAAGCCTTCTTGGCAGCGGAAGAACAGTGTGGGCAGGAGTCAGAGTTCATGAGGCCATTTTGTGAAGGGACATTCAGCTTTGTACTCTCCCTGGCCAGATACCCTGAGTCTTCTGCATGGACACCCGACAGGTGAGAAGGAAAGCGTGTTTGGCTCTTCTTCCTGCATCACTGAAATCTTGGGTTCTAGTCCCAGGACTCATCCTAAGGAGCCGTGTGACTTAGGGCAGGTCACTTCCCCTGCTCTTGCCCCCACCGGCCCTCAGTTTTGTCCTCTTTATTTTTTTTAATGTTTTACTTATTTCTGAGAGAGAGAGAGAGAGAGAGAGAGAGACAGCATGAGCAAGGGAGGTTCAGAGAGAGAGGGAGATACAGAATCCGAAGCAGGCTCCAGGCTCTGAGCTGTCAGCACAGAACCTGGTGCGGGGCTTGAACCCACGAACTGTGAGATCATGACCTGAGCTGAAGTCAGATGCTAAACCGACTGAGCCTCCCAGGCGCCCCTGTTTTGTCCTCTTCAAAATGAAGGGTTAGTCTCTCATTTCCCTGCCACTCAGTGATCTGATTCAATAGTTGGAGAGTATTGAATACTTAACTCACCTCCAGCCCATTTACTCCCCTTTGCTTTAAGCCGAGGGTAGCTTGGCTCTAGACCAGCCACAAGCGGAGGGGGGCAGAGGACCGTGGGAGAGGGAGGGGGCTACCACCAGTTAAACCCTTTCCCAGCTGCCCATTGTGGTGTCAGCATTTTTTCCAGGCTGCTTATGATGGGAGCTGGTTAGCCACAGCTGCCCACAAACTCTTCTGTGCACTCTTTACCAAGACCCTTAGGTTACTGGCCAGTAGAGGCCAGGTCTGAGTTGGGGGGACAGTAAGGAATGGTCTCTTACCACTGGATTAACAAAAGTCTTTGAAGGAAGTTGCTGCTGTAATGGAAAACTTTGTCCCTCCTTCCTTGCAGGGGCTCCATTGATTTCTTCTTCTGAAAACATGGCCAGACAGGGTCTCAGCCTTGCCCCATTGTCCCTTCCAGAACCCTCCACCAGGCGGGAGAGAAGGAGTGGGTTGATGATCTGACCCTGGCCCAGCTGGTGGAGCCAGGAGCCTCTCTTCTAGGCTAACAGGTAAGGGTCAGTGTCTCCCAGTGCGTCTCAGGACATCTTTCACTTGTAAACTGGCCAGTGGCCAAGGTTTAGTTGCTGGTTTCAAGATTTGAAGAAGTCTAGGAGCCATTTTCTAGTGAGGCCTTTACAGATTTCCTGGGGTTGTGGCCTGGGGAGCGGAGCAGGGCCCGGTGCTTGAGCAGAAGTCCGCTGTAGAACGCTTTCCTGGCAGTGTTTACCCCAGGCCAGGATGAGGGAAACGACACCTGCTGGTCTTTGGGGACCATGACAAGAGGGATGGGTAGTGGTGGCTTGAGTTTGGGGATTACACACACTCCCCCGCAAAGCCAAACCTTTGAGGTACACACAATAATTCCTGTCTGGATCAAACAAGATCTGCTCTACTTCCAAAATATAAGCAATCCCACCAACTCTCACCATCTCCACTGTTGTGGCCAGAGACTAAGCCACCATTGTCTTGTTCTGTGGACGAGTACAACCATCCCCTCCTCCCCACCCCTCTCAGACCAATCTCCACTCAGCACCTAGGGTGTTCTTAAAAATACAAACCAGGGGAGTCTGGGCGGCTAGGTTGAGCATCCGATTCTTGGTTTCAGCTCAGTCATGATCTCATGGTTCATGGGTTCGAGCCCCATGTTGGGCTCTGCATGAAGCCTGCTTGGGATCCTCTCTGTCTGCTCCTCCCCACTCATGCACACTCTTTCTCCTCTCAAAATAAATAAACTTACAAAAAAAAAAAAATACAAACCAGACCTTCCCACTTACATGTATATCTCCCTACTCCCCTGCCCAGCAGTGACTTTCTATCATATTTGGGGTAAACACCTAAACTCCTTCCTGCTACTTACAAAGGGTCCATGAGACCTAGCCTCTGCCTCTAATCTGACCCTATCGGGAACCGTTCTCCCCTTTCATTTGCTCTGCTCTTGCCATGCTGACCTCTCCCACCTAGAGAACTTTCCACCTGCTGCTCCCTCAGCATGGGATGCTTTCCCCAAGATCTTTATACCTTCCCAACTACTGGCTTGCAGTGGCCACCCTCCACTCTGTCATTCTCTTCTCACATCACCAACATCCAGTATAATTGACTTCAAAGTACTTAGGAGTCTCTGTCATGCTTATTTGTCAGCCTTCACTGGAGTGTAAGCCTCACAAAACCAGGGAGCTTGAGTGTCCAGGGATAGTGAGTGGCACAAAGTAGGGGATAGTGAGTGGCACAAAGTAGGTGCTCAATAAACATTTGTCGAAAGAATGAGTGAACAAATGAACAAATAAATGAACTGCTCAGGGACCAGGAAGAAAAACTGTTTTGTTTATGCATACCACTTCCAAGGATTGCAGACTGGAACAGAAGGCAGTGTGGGCCCCGGGGAGGGAGGAAAGCGGGGGGAAGGTGGAGTTGCACGTCTAATTCTGTGCAGTGAAGCTGCACAGGGTGGAATCAGGGGATGCTAGGTCAGCCTCTAGGTGCTACCCCCCTCAGCCTGGGCTTCCCTCCAGGCCTGGCGTACCTTAATCTTCACTTTGAAAGGCTCAATCAAAAAGACCACTGTGGGGGTGCCTTTCAGGGAGGGCAGCTGCCCGTCATCAGGGACCTCCAGCTCGAACCTCTGCAGCAGCCAGGCCATGAAGAGGAAGATCTCCTGGCGAGCCAGGCTCTCACCTAAGCAGGAACGGGGTCCTGCTCCAAAGGGCAGGTAACTTAATGATGGCGAGATGAGCTGACTCCTCGTGGGGTCCAAGAAGCGCTCTGTGGAATGGGGAGGTGTCAGCCAGCGTCAGCGCAGTAATGGCTCTGCCCTGACTGAGGGGGAGACACAGCCTTGCCCAGGGAGCCCCAGTCTGAGGAGGTGGATAGCCTGGCATGGGGGAACCCCAACCTGAGGAGAGACACAGCCCAGCTCCAGCTCCCAGGTAGCCCTGAGAAATGCACAAATGAAATGCAATATTCAGGAAGGGTGGAAAGGAGGCAGTATTAACAAGTGAAAATGCCACCATCCAAGGGGAGAGGGGCTGACTCTAGGTATATGGGAGCCATATACCTAGAGAGCTTCCCAGAGGACCTTTGCAGTTGGTAGAAGGAGAAAATGAGGCAACCGTGAAGACTTTGGGTAAGTCAGTCTAGGGTAGAATGGGACTGTCAACACGTTCATGTAGCTGGAGCCAGGAGTTTTCTAGTAGCAGAGGGAATGGCATGCTGGAATGATGGAGCACGGAGGCTAGGTTGGCTGTGTGGCCTGGGGGCAAGACAGAACAGGGACTCACCGGGCATGAACTGGTCGGGCCGGTACCACTCCTTCTCATTGTGATGTAGTGCCCACAAATTGACGATAACATTTGTGCCCTTGTCAATGGCAAACTCCCCGATGCTGCCCCAAAGAGGGAGAGAAAGAGAAGTCTAAAATATTGTCCTTCCCAAACTGCCCAGCCCCAAGCCTCTACAGTCCCCTACCCTGGAGGACAAAGCCCAACTTGTCCTTGTCTCCACTTCCTCATCTTTTCCTCAGCTTCTTCCAGACCCAGTATGAATCTAGCCCTTCTTCAGCCCTCTTCCTGACTGGCTCTTATGTCTTAAATACTTGTGTGTGTGGACATTTGTGTCTGCCAGGGCATGTGGGTGTGCATTTTGAGCTGGTGCATGTGTGTGCATGTGTTATGTCTACTGGACTGGGTAGGAAGAGAGAGCACCTGGTCTTTTATCGCAGACCACATGCTCCAGGGCAGCTGGCAGCTTCTGAGGGAGGTTGGTTAGATCTGTGGATTAGTCAGTGGATATTAGCAGGTGGTGGATATATTGATCAGTAGGGTGAGGGGTAAGATGATTGATGTTCAGTGGTTGAGTATAGGTTGACCAGCAAGTTGAGGGGTGGTAGAGGAGGGACCAAGTGGGCTGGCAAGCGTACTGTGTTATTGGGAGGGAAGGCATACCTGGAATCCACGATAGCTTTGTGGGGGATGAGCGTAGGGGCCACAGGCCGGATTCGAAGCACCTCTCGGAGGGTGGCCTCCAGCAAGATGAGTTGGTTCCGGTCACTCATAGTTGGTGTGCGGCTGAAACCTATATTCTGGTCAATCTCCTCCTGGATCTTCTTATATAACTGAGGGCCAGAGCAGGGTAGATGTGACCAACATGCTTAAGCCCAGGGGAAGCATGGGCTTAGAGGAATCCTATTGTCACATCCAGAAGATCTGGCTCAGACTCTTCCCAGCGATGGCTTTGCAGCCGGGCTTTGCTTCCAGAAGATGGGGCAGCTCCACCTAGGGCCAAAGCCAACTACTGCTTGGGTAAGGAGTGGAGCAGCCCAGTCATCTTGCATGGAAGGGCAGAGGGTATTGCTTCTCCCTCCTTTTGGGGCCATAGGTGGATCTGGCTGGGGTGAAGAGTGGCTGGGAAAACCAGAGTAAGGAGAAGCCCACCTGTGGATGGTGTAACAGGAAGGCCACAGTCCACCTCACCACAGATGTGGTGGTCTCCACACCAGCCCCAAAGATGTCTCCTATGGTGGAAAGAATGTGTTTATCTGAAAGCAGCTTTGAATCCTGGTCCGAGGCAGCATTGTTATTGTCTGAGTTCATCTTGGCTTGGATCAGTACATCCAGCATGTTGGTGATAGAGTCACTGCTGAAGTTCTCCTGGTTGGGTGAAGTTGGGAGACAGTGATAAAGAAGGAGCCCCATCTGCAATACCCTGCTATACATCCATACCAGACCAGAGATGCAAAGGCTCCTTCCACTTGGAAGTGAGGGAGGGGGGTGAGGTGAGGCAGGACCTATGAGTTTGTGAGGGTAGGAGGCAGCATTGGGTTCTCTTTAAATTTTGGGAGTGAATGGGTCCCTTCTAGGATCCTCTGCAATTACTTCCTCACCCCTATTCATTAGTTAAGTCATTTTTATTGAGGACCCACTATGTTCCAGGCTCTCTGCTAGGTGCTAGAGATCCTACAATGTCCAAAGTGGACCCCAGCCCCGTTTTCATGATATTTCAACCTAACTCATGTCTCTTCTGCTCCATTTCCTACCTTATATTTTTCAAGGATTTCAGTCAGCAATTCATCTCGCTTTTTAACATAACCCTTCATTTTTTCCAAGGTTTGGTTGGGGAAAATCTGAAAAGTGGAAATAAATGTCAAATCCATCCCTCTTCTATTTTGCTTCTCCAGCTACCAGAATCCCTCCTGGAGAATCTGGTATCTTAGCTTTCTGTCTCTGGAGAGGAGGGGAGAAGGGAGAAAGAGAGAAAGAATCGTAAGTGGACTCTACGCTGAGTGTGGATGCAGGGTTCGATTCCATGACTCTGGGATCATGACCTGAGCCAAAATCAAGAGTTGGACATTAAACCAACTAAGCCACCCAGGCACCCCGCCACTTTTTTTTTTTTCCAGAATGGGATTAAAAAAATTTTTTTTTAATGTTTTATTTATTTCTAAGAGAGAGAGACAGCGTGAGCAGGGAAGGGTCAGAGAGAGAGGAAGACACAGAATCCAAAACAGGCTCTGAGCTGGCTGTCAGCACAAAGCCCAACACGGGGCTCAAACCCACGATCATGACCTGAGCTGAAATCGGACGCTTAACCAACTGAGCTACCCAGGCTCCCCAAGAATGGGATTATTAATGGCAACTAGGACAACTCCAAATAAGGAAAAAGGGAGCATCTCCATTTCTCCCTGCCCTTTCAATCAGACATCAGACACTGATTGAGGGTCTACTAAGTAGACTTCACTGTGTGCCCAGCCCTTAGGAGTAAGATAGACTTGAATCTGAAGCCTGGGGCAAATTCCTTAACTTTGTAAGGCCTCTATTTTCATCTGTATGGAAACTGACCTTCAAGGGGGAATTACTTGATTAATGCATGTGGAGTGCTTAAGACTGAGCAATTGGTAAATAAATGAGAGCCATTATCATGAGTATTAAAATGCAGAGTTAAAAGCTAAACCTATTTCTGTAGAGAGGTGGAAAGGTTTTAAAAAGAGTCAGAAGAGATAGAGGTCACTGTAGCTGAGGTAGTCTGGAAAAAAGTGGGTCTGGAGATAGGCAGTAAGAAATGCAGACTGCAATCAGGGATTGTTGGGATCTGAGGGTGTGGCCTGGCCTTATCCTTACCTTCAGCACGGGGAATATGTCTACCAAATTGTCCTTTCCCAAAGTATTCAAGATGCCTTCATTGTAATTATATATGATCTTCAGAGCAGGATCTTCATTCTTGTAGGAGGAGTTGAAGCAGATCAAGCCGATTATGTTGGTCACCGCCAGGAAGAGAGGCAAGGACAAATCTATGGACTCTCCATCCTGGGCGGCCAGGTTATCACACAATAAACTGATTTCCTGACAAACTGAGAGGAGAGGGGGCATGACGGTGGGGAATTAAGCAGCGCCCTCTCCCTCCCAATTCCATCTTGGCCAGGGACATAGACCAGAAGGCCACTAGATGGCAGCAGGAGCCAAGAAAGCACTGGATTGAGCTTTCCCTTGCACCCTCCCACCCCCAGCTCTTTCTCCCCCACCAGTGGTCTGAGGGGCCAGCCAGCACTCACTGATCTTCTCTAGCCTTTGGTCGCCATCCTTGAACAGAGCAAAGGTGGCCAGCACCAGCTTCCTGTGCAACTGCCAGCTTGCACCATGGTCGGCGAAGGCAATGCCCTTTTGGTTGTCAGACAGGATATCCAGAGTCACCTTTGGAGAGCAGGAAAGACTATAGGAATCAGACAAGCCTGATGCTTTTTGAGGTCCCTCTGGGAAGAGGTGGCTTGGACTGCCCAGATCTCTGCCTTTCCCTGGCCCTCTGGGGGGTGCTGAAGATGCAGCAGCAGCTCATCTACTCTCTCTGCCCTTCCATTGCAAGGATGTGTGCCCACCCTAAGGCCCCATCTGGAGAATGCATTCTGGACTTGGGCCAAACCACCTCTTCCCAGAGGGACCTCAAAAAGCATCAGGCTTCAAAGCCTCCCCTCTTATATCCTATGACCCACAAGCCCCATCTGGTTAGCTTCCTCCTTCCTCTTTGCTCAGGAGAATTGGGAGTGAGGCCACTGGCCAGCAGATCTGGGCGACTGATCCAAAGAAAAATGAGTCAACCCTTGGCCTGATCAGAGATAAGTGGCTGCAGGGGGTTGGGGGGAGCAGCAGGGGGCTGCCTGGACTCTTCGGGAGGGTACTCAGCAGCAGGTGTGAGGAAGGGGCATTGGAAGTACTCCCAGTTGGTTAGCTTCTCTCCTCCCCCAGGAGCATTACAGAAGGTTCAGTAGGATAGATGATCAGCATCCTTGAAATGTTACCAGGTGTCAGCCTTATGTAACCCAGAGCAGCTGGGGACAGCCCCAAAGAAACGGCAGTCCCAGCCCTGCAAAAGCAAAGCTGCTTCTCCCTCACACCTTCCCATAGGACACAGTAATCATTTAAACCCCTTTTTCCACATGAAGAATAGCATTCCTAAAGGCTATTTATTGAGGACTTATTGCTCTGGGCACTGGGCTAAGTGCTTTGCATAAACTATGTCAGTCAATTAGGGAAATGGAGAGTCAGAGAGAACATCATCCAGTTCCAGGTGAGATGACAAGAGTGAGGCTCGCACCCCAGCCCACCTCCTAGAAGCCCAGAAAAGGAGGTATTCCTTTGATTCTTCATGCCTGGTTTAGAGGCCGGGTGGGGTCTGAGGGGTTGATTCCCACCCACAGCCCAGCTAATCTGTTTTGGGAAGAATTACAGGTTAGAAGAATTACAGAAGTCGGAAGGGTCATTCCAGACATGGTCTTGGCCGAAGAACTGAAGAACCAGGGGCTGGTGAGAGAGGAGGGTTGGTGGGCACTGCTTACCACTTGGGGCCGTCCAGAGAATTCCTTGCCCTTCTTGATAAGCACCTCCTTGGCCAGCTGGTGGTCACCAACCATCACTGTAGTCTTGGTCCCCAGACGAAAGGAATAGATGGGGCCATATTTTTTCTGCAGCTTGAAGAAGTTCACGTGTGGATGGCCACTTCTGGGGAGGAATAGCAGGCTGCCCACAAAGGGCAGGGTTGGGAGGCTCTTGGGATACTTGGCACCAGGGTACTTTGCCTTGGGCCACAAGAAATAGGCTAGGGTGAACAGCAAGAAAACCAAGAGCTCCCACATGGTGGCCGGGTGCTGGCCAGCAAGACAGACAGCTACGGAGTGGAAGAGCTGCTTCTAACTCTAGGGTGCGAGGAGGTCTTTTTAAAGGCTGCCCTGTTCTTCACCTTGGCTTTGTGTTATCTCTTGCCTTGTGGAAATTTATCCTGGAGCACAGCCAGGCTGGAGCCCTTTTCCAGAAAAGACAAAGGAAGGAGTTGCGGAGGACTCCTCAAGGGCTGGCTCAACTCCAGGGCAACCCCTAGGGGAGGAGCTAGGTAAGGGGAAGCCAGCTGGGCCTCCCTCCCCTGGGGCTCCCCATTCATCAATGTCTACAGAGTACACCCGAATCAAATGGTATCTTTTTTTTTAATTTTTAAATTAAAAAAAAAATTTTTTTTGAGAGAGAAAGAGCATGAATGGGGAGGGGCAGAGAGCAAGAGAGACACAGAATCTGAAGCAGGGTCCAGGCTCTGAGCTGTCAGCACAGAGCCCGACGTGGGGCTCAAACCCACGAACCTGAGCTAAAGTCAGATGCTTAACCGACTGAGCCACCCAGGTGCCCCACAAATGGTATCTTGGTCAGGAATCAAGGCATGGGGCTTTCCACATTGTAAAATCAAAATCGGTGGGCAGATGATGTCAGGAGGCTCACAACCAGCAGGGACTGTCAAAGATATTTTGTTCAGTCTTATTTAACAACCCAGGAATGTGATGCCTTGAAAGGTCAGGTTTGTAGAATGTCACACAAGATAATGATGGCAAGAACCCAGATGTCCTAACTCCTGGTTTGCTGCTCTTTCCAGAGGCAGTGACGCTCTCGGGTTGAGAGGATGGGCTTTAGAGTCAGATAGGTATGGGTTCAAATTCTAGCTGGGCCACCTTCTAATATGACATTTTTTAGAAAGTTATTTTTATTATATCAAAATATATGCAATATAAAATTTACCATTTAAACCATTTCAACATGTACAATTCAGTGGCATTAAATATACACACAGTGTTCTATGGCCATCATCACTATCTACTCCCAAAACTTTGTCATCATCCAAAACAGAAATGACCCATTAAGAAATAACTCCCCATCAGACACCCTCCGTCCTACGCCTTGCAACCTCTAATCTACTTTGTCTCTATGAATATGTCTATTTCACATGAGTGGCACCTTGCAATATTGTGTTTTGTGTGTCTGGCTTATTTGACCTGGCATAACGTTTCTGAGGTTCATCCACATTGTATCAGAACCCCATCGTTTTTTATGACCGAATAATATCCCAAGGTATGGGTGTACCTCATTTTGTTTATTCATTCATCAATTGGGGGATATTTAAGTTGTGTTTACCTTTTGGTTATTGTAAATAATGCTGCTATGAACATGTCTGTACAAGTATCTGTGTAAATCCCTGTTTTCAATTCTTTGGGGTAATATATCTAGGAATGGAATTACTAGGTCATATGATAATTTTATGTGAAGTATATGTTAATTGATTATGGTTCAGTTTCCACCTCTGTAAAATTGAAATAATAATGGCATCTACTGATCAGGTTAGTTGTGATTCAAGGAGATTATGCACGTAAAAGTGCTGCCTGGTATGAGATAAGTATTTATTCAATATTTATTCTTTTTATCATTTTACCACAATGGGCTTCCTAGTTTCTCTGAGCTCTTATTAGTAGATCTTCCTCACAGACAAGCTTCTTATCCTTTGCTGGAAACTTCAGCGGCTCAATCAGTATTTATCAGTGATTTGACATTCACAGATGAAGCCACAGCCCCAAGGAGGTGAACACTCCTGGTGTCAATCATCATAGAAGAAGTGGATCCTCAGACAAGCAACCAGGATCCACTGAGTGAGATTCACAAAGGTGGGGAATGGAATTTCTGCCCATCTCTGGGGATGGTTTACCAGCGTCTCTACTGTGAGGAGTACAGACTGGTGTGTGGGCTGCTGGAATGAAGCAGGAAGGCAGCAGATAGGGGACCTCATAAAGAAGGTAAACCGGCAGGGCCTTGAAAGCCAGACGGCCTGGTTGCCCATTACTCCAAATTTTCTTTTTCTTTTTTTTTTTTTTTTAAATGTTTTATTTATTTCTAGGAGAGAGAGAGAGAGAAACAGCGTGAGCAGGGGAGGGTCAGAGAGAGAGAGGGAGTCACAGACTGAAACAGGCTCCAGGCTCTGAGCTGGCAGTCAGCACAGAGCCCGACGCGGGGCTCGAACCCACGAACCGCGAGATCACGACCTAAGCGAAAGTCGGACGCTTAACCGACTAAGCCACCCAGACGCCCCCCATTACTCCAAATTTTCAAATGTGGTTCCGACTTTTAGGACCATTTGTGGTTAGAGGTATGAGCCAGGGTGGTCAGAGAAGGTTTCATGAAAGAAAAGGGATTTGAGCTAGGCCTTTAAGGAGAGTGAGGACTACTGGTAGAGGCGTGAGGAGTGGGGAAGGAAGGATACTGCTGAAAGGGAGAGCAGCAGAGGCCAGAGGGGTAGAATGCATAGGATGGTGATGATCCTGCCTGCAGGCACAAAGGAGAGGTACTGGTGGGCACATCAAATCAGCCCTGAAACAGAAGGCTAGGGAGGATGGAGGAGAGACTGAAAGTTCTGCAGCAGAGGACTGACAGGGGACACTGGCATTTTTGAAGGTTGAATCTGGTATCTGCATCAGGGTAGGCTGGATGAAGAGCTCTTGTGTAAAGTTTGACAGCCAGGCAAGAAGAGCCTGTGATCCAGGTGGGGGCCAAGTAGGGTCAACCCACCTGTAAAGAAACATGAATGGGTACTTTCTATTCCTAAAATGAATCCCAAGGTGATTCTCTATTTCACGCCAATCACAAACAAGAAATGGCAATTTTTTTTTTAATATTTTTTATTTATTTCTAGGAGAGAGAGAGAGACAGCGTGAGCAGGGGAGGGTCAGAGAGAGAGGGAGTCACAGACTGAAACAGGCTCCAGGCTCTGAGCTGGCAGTCAGTACAGAGCCCGACGCGGGGCTCGAACCCACGAACCGCGAGATCATGACCTAAGCGAAAGTCGGACGCTTAACTGACTAAGCCACCCAGGCGCCCCAAGAAATGGCAATTTTTCAAAAACGTTGCTTCAATGGCACCTGGGTGGCTCAGTCAGTTGAGCTCTTGGATACTCAGACCATATTCCAGAATTGTGGGACTGAGCCCCACGTTGGGCTTTGCACTGAACATGGAGCCTGTTTGGGATTCTGTCTCTTTCTCTCTCTGCCTCTTTCCCCTTCTCCCATAAACAAAAAAACAAAGTGTTGCTTCCTGACCTCATCACCATGTTATAAGAGTTACACGTGATAATTGCAGAAAATCTGGATAATGCAGGTAACTAAAAGTAAATTAAAATTTTGAAAAATTTTTGAAAATTTTAAAGTTTGTTATTTATTTATTTTAAGAAAGAGAGAACACAAGCAGGGTAGAGTAGGGGCTGGGGGGTGGGGGGAAGGGGAGGGGATGAGGAGAGAATCCCAAGCAGGCTCCATGCTGTCAGCATAGAGCCTGATGCAGAGCTCAAACCCACCAACCATGAGATCATGACCTGAGCTGAAATCAAGAGGGACGCTTACCCGACTGAGTCACCCAGGTGCTCCTGAAATGTGTTTTTAACCTAAATGAGGCCATCCATACTGCATTTCTTGGCATGGATATTTTTCTATTATTAAGGACTTTTCTATAACATTATTTTCTTAAGTTTATTTATTTTGAGAGAGAGAGAGAGACAGCTCAAGTGGGGGAAGGGGAGAGGGAGGGGAGGGAGAGAATCCTAAGCAGGCTCCACATTGTCAGCTCAGAGCCTGACATGGGGGTTTGAACACACAAACCATGAGATCATGATCTGAGCCTAAGTTGGACGCTTAACTAACTAAGCCACCCAGGTGCTCGCACTACAACATTATTTTTAATGACTGCATATCATTCCATTGTGTGTGTATCATACATACAGCATAGCTTATTTAATTGATCCTGTACTATAGGACATGTAGGTTGTTTCCATTTTCGTCTTTGTTTTTCATATAAACAACACTACGTAATAGCCTTATAGTGAAACCTTTGTGCATAAAAATATTTTCTTACAGTAGAATACTAAGAATAGAATTATTGCTCAAGGGCCATGCATGCATATTTTAAAGACTTGTGACAAATACTAACTAACTTATCAGATGCATTATATAAGTAGATTTCTTGGTATCCAACTATTCCTAGTTAGTAATAACTTACTAAGAGCATCTTCTTTTCATATAGAATTGAAATCTCTTTGTATTACTTAGGATTTTATTTCTTTTGCATCTCTACTCATATGAAAAATTGGGTTGTGGTTTTCTTAATGCATTGTCAAGTTTTGATATTATGATTTTACTAGTTTTATAAAGTTATTGGAGAAACTTTTCATCTTTTGCTATATCCTTAAGCAGATTAAATGGCATGAGAATGATCTATTCTTTGAACTTCTAAAGGAAGGTAATATGAAAAATGTTAGGTCTTAGTGCTTTTTTTGGAGCGATAACTCTTTAACATAATTTTCCAATTTCTTCCATAGTTGTTGGTCTCCTCAACTCTTGAGTCTTCTTGAGCCAATTTTGGCAATTAATAGTTCTTACAATGTGCACTTTCTGTTTTTTCTTAACTTGCCAGAAGTTTTATTAATCTTTTCAAAGAATCTCCCTTTGGATTTATTCATCAAGTCTTTGATGGTTGTTATTTTAATTTGGTGTCAGTGTTGAGAAATGATCAATGCATCCTTTGTAACTTTATACCAGAATTCAGACCGAAAGTTCATGTGGCTTCCACTTCCTTTGAATCCGTTTTCTTTGTTCCTCTTCTAAAACATAAGCCCCATTATCTACTACAGCTGAACTTACGGCCTGGGAACTCCATTCTTAGGTATTTAACCAACAACACTTGTACATATATTCACCAAAGGTACACTCAAAAAGTGTTCATAGCAGTACCATTTTTTTTTGTTTGTTTGTTTTTAATTTTTTTTTACCAATAGTTTATTGTCAAGTTGGTTTCCATATAACACCCAGTGCTC